TCATACCTCCTGTCATGACATCCCATATCATACTTGATACCAGCTACCTCAATACCCCCTCACGCGCGATACCTCCTGGCTTCTGCATACACCCATGGATGAATTCTCCTCGATCAGCTCTCCTGCCGCCCCCTGATCATCCTCCCCATCCTCCTCCTCCTTACCCTACTACATCCTCCGTTTCGTACCCCTTCTCATCCACATATTCCAGAGGGAGGTGCGTTGGGTAGGATGGTGGTGATGAGAACTAGCAGGTAGGATGTAGGAGGCACGTAGGATGTAGGGGATAGAACGTAGGCGGTACCATGTAGAACGTGGGTGGAAAGCGACGTGCGATGATATAACAAAAGCAATTGTGTCAGCAACGGAAGCCTTCTTCGCGTTGCCAACATCGGCCTGCGAGAACTCCGACGGCGCCCTCTTGGCGGTGCGGATGACCTTCATCAGCGCGGTGCTGCTCTCCTATCTGGGCGCAACCAAAATATGCGAAGCAGAAGCGGGGCCCTCACACAAGTTTGGAGCATTTTGGGGTCATCCGAAGGTTCGCTGAGAACGGGGGGATCCACGAACCAATTGGAACGACCAAGAATTGAATATCAGAAGGCCGAGTTTCTGGTCCATTGAACCACATGGCTGCGTGGCCTCTCGTGGGGCCCGACGCAAGTTCCTTCGGAGGACATTCTATATTCAGTTCCATCAGGGCCATGTGAGTCATCGGGGGCGGGTGCGTGGGTTTGCAAAATGTTTTTAGTCCAAAAAATCCGTCGCCGCGTCGCGCACCTTCTCGAGCTCCTGCACGGCTTTGGCCTGGAACTTCGTGGACGACACGCTGATGCTCTTGATGATGTCGACGTGCTTGCGGATCACCTTGATCTCTTTCTTCATGCTGGACGCAACCTCGGGGCAAAACGCTTACATCGAATCGCAATGTCCCCACAACCTCGCTTGCCTGATATCAAGAATGACGGCTCGCGTCTGCCTTCACACCCCTGGCAAGAATATTGTCAGGAGCGCGAGGGAATGCGCGATGCTGCGTACTTCCGATATCTGGCCAGCGAGGTGGGCGGGCTCGCATACCCAACCAAATGTATCTAATGCCGACAATTCCCCAGACCAGTGCTTGCAAAACACGGGCACGAAGGGCCTCGATCTGTGCGGAGTCGTTGCCCTATGCGTATTTACGTATCGGCGGCACAGACACGAGGGCCGACGGGGGAAGGCGAGGAGGAAAAGGATGGGCTGAGAGGGATGATGCTGTTGATGATGAGGAGGAGGAGGGAGAGGAGGAGGAGGAGGAGGAGGAGGAGAAGGAAGAGGAGGAGGAGGAGTGGCAACAGGGATGAGAGGGTTACACGGATGGTAGAGGGTGACACGATCGAGGTTTGTCCCTGCGTGGAGATGCCACCACGCTCTTGCCCTTCTTCGCGCCGTGGTGCTCCTGCTTCGCTTCGTCGTCCGCGGCAGGGAGGTCGAGGCCCATGTGCGCGATGCTGCCTGATTCTGGGTTTGGGATGGGCGTGGAGGAGAAGGGCGGAGGTAGGTAGACGGGGGGCGAGCCACGGCGCCAACGTATGAGGGCGAATGGCGTCCTCACATGGTGTCGCATGATTCCTGGTCTAAGAACAAACGACCCCCCCCATCGTTGTTGAGGGTAATAGGCCCGATTTAACCAACCCCCGTGCCGTGCGCGGCCAAATCGCTCGACAGCATCATGCCGCTGATGCCTGCACCCATTTCGTCGAACGAGTCCTTGCTGATCGCTTTCTTGCCCGTGCCTGTCTGTTCCTTCGACCTGCGGAACACCTTCTTCCGCTTGTCGCGGATGATCTTGTACTGCTTGCGCCGCGGGTTCATCGGGTTGGCCCTGACCTGGGGCTCCCAAGGTGGAGCAGGAACACAGCAAGGAACATTGATGCCATTGGGCGTGGAGGAGGGGGAAAGATGAGGAGGAGGAGGAGGAGGAGGAGGAGAAGGTGGGGCGAGGAGGATGAGGTGGGGGCAGGATGAAGGATGGCGGAAGGGAGGGAAAGCGAGATTGATGTAGGAGGATGGAGGAGGGAGGAGGGGGAGAAGGAAGCCAAACAAAACGTCAGGATTGGTGATGGAGGGGATTGGGGTTTGCGTCAAACGGAAACCTCGATCTTCTGCTCTGAGATCATCTCCTCCGCCTCCGACTCGTCGTACAGGTCGCGCAATTGCTTGTGGCTGATCCACTCCTCGTCCCTCTCCACGTCCTCTGTGAACGAAAGGCGCTGCGTCACGGAGAGGAACGTGTCCCCGAGGCCAGGGTCTACCAGGTAGCCCATCAGCATTTTGGCTTTCGCCACCTGTTTGCCTCCACCAGCAGGAAGACCATCAGCCTGGTGCTCCCGTGGAGGGGCAAACATAACAATGCGTATTTCAACCAAACCCCCATCGCTCGAATCCTTCATCCGCCTCCTCATCATCCTACGGTTTCACATCATCATTCACGTTTCTGTCGGGTAAACGTTCTTCGGTTTCGCCTCCAAAAGCTTCTGTAACCTCACAATAGCGACGTCACGCTCCCCTTTGATCATCTCCTTCCCAATCGACGATGAATGGTGAAGGAAATGGTCTGTCACTAAGTCGGTTGTCGTCCTGATGTCATCTCATTGTCCCTCCGATTCAGATATCACCCTCCCAGCCGCCTGGTTGTAGAGCTCGTCCGCGGTCTCGTTCTTCTTCCTGGCTGTGGCGAAACGGCCGTACAGAAGCCTAGTTCGGTGCAAAACGGTGAACGCGAAACGCACGGCTGGCGCATTTGCAAACACGGCATATCATATTCGGGCGCACGCGGCCCTCAAGAGATGTGCCGTGTCTGCATGTGCGCCAGCCGTGTCATTTCTCGATCACCGAAGTACCCCGTGGGCCTGAGCTCGGGTTGCGTAAAAATCGCTTTCAGGTGGGCCATGTTCATCTCGTCGGCGTGCTCCTGGAACAATTTCACCTTGTCCTCGATGTCCTCGCACTGCGAGGCTTCGTGGGCAAGCTTGGAGACCTCCCACCTGGGATTCAGTGAGTGTGTGTCGTCGTCGCCACGCTTGATTCAAGTTCTATGTCCTCAGCCTCACCCCCTGTGTCATTTTAGTTATCACAAGCAACCTCTTCCTCATCAACACCCGTATCATCATCTGCCCGCCCTCACCACCACAACCATCTCATCATCATCCTCACCATCCCTCCTCATTCTCCTCTGTCAGGGTTGTCTGGGTTTCATCCCTGCTCCACACTTTCTTGTTCTTGACCTTGCTGCCAGCAGTCGTCGGTTTCGTCGTCCTCGCCGAAGCAGCGGGACGAGCAGCAGCAGCAGGCTTCTTCATCATGGCCTTGCCCATGACGTCGTCTGCTGCTCTCTTGGGAAGAGAAGAAAGCACCCTGGTGCGTCGCGCCCTCGAGCCAGGAAGCTAGGGGGGTTGGTGATTGCAATGGTGGAGCTGTTCGGGGGGCGGGGGGGCGATCACTCCAGGATGAAACGCAGGATGAGAAAGGGGGAAGCGATGTCGAGGGAGCGAGGGAGGAGATGAGGAGGAGGGGGAAGCTGAGGAATGAGGAGAGCGGTAGATGAGGATGAGGACACCCAGGACCAACAGACCAGGATACCCAGGACCAACAGACCATTGTTTTTTTTTGAAACTCTGTGTTAATGTTTCTCACAAAAAATAAGCAACCGAACCCCTCAAGCCAAGAAAATACAGGCCGACATCAACATCGAATCCAAATGCAGGAGGGAAGTTGATCCACCACGACGCAACACACCCCCAGTCTCGATCTGACAAAAATCTGACGTCAGTCTGACGTCAGATTCTGCATCTGACAAATGTCTGACGTCAGACAGACGTCAGATGCCGAATCTGACGTCAGACTGACGTCAGACGTTTGTCAGATCTGGCGTCTGACAACAGTCTGACGTCTGATGTTGTCAGATGTGCCTGTCTATGACGAGGTCCCATACGATTCGCCAAATCTTGAATTTGGGAGATCTATTTTATGTCTGCTACCGAAGACCAAACGCAATTTCAAGCAAACGCAACTGCCCTCCTAGAGCCTGGGTGGATCGGAACGGCCACGGGCAGCAACCTCTGACGACTGAAATGAGGCGAGGCATCGGGGCGTGCCTTTTCCAAGCGAGCACAATCTTGATTTCGAAGCATGCGATGCAATGCGGATGCGCGCTCCATCGCACATCCCTGCAACCCCGTCCGAGCGAACGAGCGGGCAGCCGCTCTCCCTCGGGCCCAGTGGAGCACTTGCTCCGAAAGAAAAGCGAACGAGCGGTGGCGCCCAGAAAGAAGAAGTGGTTGTGTGGAGAGATGAGACAGAGGAGGGAGGGTGGGTAGCGGCTGGGTTGAGACAAGACGACATCGTGGCCAGGGAGTTGGTGGTGATGGAGGGAGAGCTGGATGGGGAGGGGAGATGATGAGTAGGCATGAACTCCATATCATGATGATGCGTGGCACATGATGAAATATGGATGGCTGTGATTGTCAAGTGCCAAGGTGCGAAACGAAACGTGGCGAGGATACGAAAAAGGGCGGATAAGAGGGGCAGTCACGAATCAATGAGGGGAAGATGAGGTGGTCAGCAGATGGGGGCGGGAAGGATCTGAGGATGCGAGTGAAGGGATCGATGATGATTGGCGTCGTGGTGTCATGACCCAATCGTGTCATCCAACAATCCTCTCGTTATCTTGCTCACCTTGATCGTTCCCATGCCGCCCCGTCGGTGTCGTCCTTCCCCGTCTCCTCTCCCACGGATCCTCCTTTTCAAACCACAATCCGGACTCGTCGCCGTTTCGCGGCGCTATGAGCGTCGTCATCGCCGAATGCCCTCCTCATCCACTTCCTCCTCCTCCTCCTCTTGGCCGTGCAGCTCCCCCTTCGCACTCTCCTCCTCCTCCTCCTCCTCCTCCTCCTCCTCCTCCTGTTCTTCACCCTATCCATCCTCGCCCTCTCCTCATCTTGACCGACCGAGTGGCGACCTTACTTCTTGATGAGCTTGTTGCGGTACGCCACCACCTGCTCCTTCGAACAGCCCTGCGTGCACATGTACTTCAGGCACTGCGCGATCAGCTTTGCATGGTTGCTGCTCATGCTGCTGCCAATCTGCACGACCAGCCGCGGCTTGCGCGACGCGTCCTTGTAGCAGATGTACGAGCACGCCGTCGCGTAGGTCACGTACAACGTGCCCAGCGACGAGTGCTCGCCGTTGCGCGGGAGCGCGGGGTCCGTGGCCTTCTTCGGCGTGGTCTTCGTGCTGGCCTTGCGCGACGGGATGTTCTTGCCCTTGCCTTTGCTCGCGGCCTTGCCCTTGCCCTTCTTCTTGCGCTCGGCCGTGCCCTCGCCCTTCGCGACAGACTTCCGCTCGCGGACCGACGCCTGAAGGACGAGGAAGAATGAGGGAGGCATGAACATGCAGAAGAACTCATGAGGACCACTTGAGGGACAAGCTCAGGACGATAAGGGGAGGGACGAATCACCAACAGGATCATCGATGAGAAAATAAGATTGCGACGAGGGTTGATGGGTGTCACCACCCACACCCTCTTCTTCATAAACACCACCACCCCTTCCTATTATTCCTCATCTTGCTCCTACCCCATCCCCATTGTTGCGACCCGTGGCCCGTTTATTCATCCGCTTCATTCCTCCACCATCACAGCCTCACCCTTCATACTTCATCTCCGCTCGTCCCCCTGGCCTTCAGCTCTCGCTTCTTCGGCGGCACGTGCGGGGCCGCGGCAGCGAGCGCGAGCAAGGCCTCGTCGTCGGACTTGCCCTTCTCGTCAATGACCACCTCGTCGTCGTCGCTGGCAGAGTCCGCGTCGAGCATGATCCACGAGGAGAGCTCCTGGCCAGCGTGAGGGGGAGGGAGAGCAATGAGATCGAGGAAGGGATGACGATGACGACGTGAATCATCATATTATCATTCGTCTCATTCGTCTCGTCTCGTCGTCTCATTCGCAACATCGTTCGCCTCAGGCTTAACTCACCGTAAATCAGATTATCGTTCGTCTCAGTCGTCTTACTATGTCCATCATCACCCTTGTCGTTTTAATTTGCAATCTCGTTCGTTCGTCGTACCCTGCCCCATCTACCTTGCCCCTCTCAGTCGTCGTGCCCTGCTCCTCTCTGATCGTCATCGTCCTGCCCTCATCATTGTCATCCCCCCGCGCGCCCCACCATCGTCGTTCATTGAGTATTTTGCGAGGCAATTCATCATTACAAAGGGAATGTACATGCTACAACAAAGCATGACGGGTGAGTCTTTTTTCTTGACGCAAGGCGATGCAAAACGGATGCCTAGAAGCCTGTGACAAACTGGTAGCTGGAGCAGGGCGCACTCGCGCATGTCTGTGCATGCGCACCCAGCACAGATATTTGACATCTGTTGTGCAGCCTGGACTCATCCAGGAAAGCCATGCCCAGCGATCGAACTACATGGCCTCGTGGAAAGCATATCCACTGGCTGTGCTCTCAGCGGCCCAAGAGGAATGAAGGGGGACTGTCTGGAAATATATAGGTGGATGGTAATATTGGAGGGAGGGCGAGGTGGGCCGCAAGCCAAAAATGGCCTCTAGTTGGTAACCTGATTCGGCTCACACGAAGACAGGAACTGCGCGAACGACGCCATCTCAGAATCTGGGATCTCATCGGCACCCGCGGCTGGGTCCTCACCGTCGGTGTCGACGCCATCACCGCCAGAAGCCACGGGCATTGAACTCCCCGTGGGCATGGGCGTCGCCACTGTATCGCGCAAAGGGACTTCGCGAGGCTCCAACGACTCGAACACTTGCAACTGGGGGGTCTCCTGCTCCTCGGGCCAGATCCCAACCCACAGCCCCTTTGCACCGTTCCAGGAAAGAACGCTGGGGCAGTACACCAACTTATGACCTGGCGGAGGGGGGCCGAAGTGCGTGACCAGGGTGGCGATGTCCTCTGGCGTGACGAACTTCTTGATCTTCGCAAGCGCAATCACGCGCTCGAACGGCGTAAGACCTGGTGCGCCCGCTTCGCCCAAAGCTGCGTGTGGTTCTGGCACAGGGACTTCTTCTTCTGGCTCTGATGGCGCCTAGAGACGACACGCTGTCCCCGAAGGTGTTCCTGCACGGGCGAGGGCGGGCAAAGGGGGGTGGAGGATGCGGCGCCACGAACAATTTTGTGGTTGCGTGCCATGGGCGAGTAGGGATATAGGTGGGCTGGTCGGTTTGTAGAGGAACGAGGAGGCGGGGTCTGGCGTTGGCGGGTATAGGTGGTTGGCGGTTGCGCTGATGGGGCTTTGAGGTAGGTGGGCTGGTGGGTGGGATAGTGGTGCGTGTGTGTGCGAGAGAACCATCATTTATTTGAGTTCTTGGCACCGCCCGTCCACCCCGCCCGCCCCTTGCCCATTCGGAAACAACTTCGGATACAAGAAAACCCATCGTCTCCTCCTCGGCTCCTTCGTCCACGGTCACGGGGGACATGTCGGCGCGCGGGGGGCTGGGCGTGTAGTCGGGCGAGCATTTCTCGGCGGGCTGCTTGCCAATGATCGGGCTCTTCTTGCTGCGCTTGAACGGCGGGCTCTGGCCAATCAGCTCGGAGAGGGGGCGCGCGTCCTCCTGGTCACCTTGCGCGTCCTGAGTAGCCACGCTGTTCGGGGGGATGGGCATGGCGGACTTGGGCCAGAGCAAGGCCCTGGCTTGCGCAGACATACGAGTGTCCAATACGGCTGAAGCTGCCGACATCACGGCAATGCAAGACAGCAAGAGCACGCGCGACTCGGGTACCAGAACGAGCTCGAGAAAATGGCAACGGACACGCACCCGACGCATCCGAGGTGTAGGGTCGGGGCGTATATCATGAATAGGGCTAGTGGTCTACGTAGGCGCAGGGGCGCGGGCACTGTTAGGTGTCGGCGCGCTGATATAAAATCGACGAGCGCGTTAGCACGGTGGTTAGGTAGGTGGCACGGGTGGGGACAGGATGTACGATAAAGGTGGTGTGTGCGTGGGGGAAGGGGGGGTGGGGTGGGGGGTTGGCGATGGGCAGTGGTGGTTGTAGGAGGCACAGGAAGGTGACGAGTGGTAGAGCGTTGTGGTAAGTGCGTGGGGCAAAAAAAGGGCGGCGGGCGGTGGTGGCGTGATGGTGTAGGGGGGGTGGTGGTGGTGGTGCGGTAACGGGCAAGATGGCGGTGGAAGGAAGTGTTTTTGGAGGTTGGGGTGAAGGGTATTTGAGTCTGCAATGGTCATGGTTTGACGCCAGGCCGACGTCAATCTGACGTCAGTCTGACGTCAGACAGACGTCAGTCTGACGTCAGACAGACGTCAGTCTGACGTCAGACAGACGTCAGTCTGACGTCAGACTGACGTCAGACAGACGTCTGTCTGACGTCAGACCGACGTCAGACCGACGTCAGACCGACGTCAGACCGACGTCGAACCGACGTCGAACCGACGCCAACCCGACGTCAGACCACACTCACCCCCGTCATTCATACTCGTCATCATATGTTTCCGTTGGGATCGCCATTTATCGTCATGAATGCCGTCGTCACCATGCTCGTCACGTTCGTCATTCCATTCTTACCTTCCTGATCGTCATGTTCTTCATATTCGTCATACCACTCGTGATCTTCACATTCCTCCTCCGTTCCACCCTCGCGTTTCCCTCCTGTCCCCGCACTCCTCCCACACCTTCAAGCATGGTCAAAAAGCGGTGGGGTGAGGCGTCCTGCATCTGGATGTCACCCAACGGCAGCTCGTCGGCCTCCTCGGCGGGCGCCACGTCGACCTCGCTCTCCTCGGAACTGTCGTTCTCGTGGCCTCGCGCTGGCACGTTGCTACCCTCTCTTCCTGCATCCTCTCATGCATTCAACCTCGTACAGCCTCGAACCTGCAATCCTTCCTATCCTCCTGCCTCATCTTATCCTCTTGCCTCATTCTTCCTCCTGCAATCACCCTCCATCCTATCCTCCCGCCTCATCCTTCCTGGTAGGCCCCCTATTCTCCCTCCCCACTTGCTTCCTCATCACTTGCAGCCCCCTCCTCCGTGGGATGGCCTCTGCCATCAACGATGGCCTCGCGCGGGTAGTACGCGCCAGCAGGTTGGCCAACGCGGCCGCGACGCTGTGGAGCAGGGCTCGGCGTCGGTGGAGCAGGGCTCGGCGTCGGTGTGCGCCGAGGAGAGGAAAGGGGTCATCAACGGGGCGGAAGGTACGGAAGGGGGGGGAAGGCAAGATGATGATGGCGAGGACGACAAGTAGGAGGCAAGGGTTTGAGGGAGGCGGAACACATAGAAGAGAACAACGAGGATTAATCTTGAGAAGGACGAGGAGGCCTCTGGTCGCGCTGCGCCGCGCGAGGGATCCCCATCAGGTGGAGGTAATACCACAGCGCGTCCTGCTCGACATCCGTGCACTGGCTCATCGCCTGCAGGAAGTCGAAATTTCACGTCGGTCCGACGTCGGTCCGACGTCCGTCTGACGTCCGTCTGACGTCAGACCGACGTCAGACCGACGTCAGACCGACGTCAGACAGACGTCAGACAGACGTCAGGCAGACGTCAGACAGACGTCAGACCGACGTCAGACAGACGTCAGACAGACGTCAGAAAGACGTCAGACCGATGTCAGGCTGACGCAAATGAGACACCATCGTCTCATTTCCCCAGCCATCATCCTCATCATCCTCATGACCATCATCCTCCAAACTAGTCTCCCCCGTTGGACTGGCGTCAGTCTGACGTCAGTCTGACGTCAGTCTGACGTCAGTCTGACGTCAGTCTGACGTCAGTCTGACGTCAGTCTGACGTCAGACCGCCGTCAGACCGCCGTCAGACCGCCGTCAGACCGACGTCAGATCGACGTCAGTCAGTCCTCATCCCATCCAGCCTCCTCCGTCGATTTGCGTCAGTCTGACGTCAGCCTGACGTCAGCCTGACGTCAGACCGACGTCAGACCGACGTCAGACTCCTCCTCCTCCTCATCCTCCTCCCCCTCCTCCTCCTCCTGTTACTCCGTCCCAGCTTCGTCGTCCCAAACATTTGAACCCGATGCCTGACGGCGGCGCACCTCGTTGTCGCGGATGCGACGGAGGTGCTTGTACATCACGGATATCTTGTCCGCGAGGGAGCCGCCGCGGTCCACGGCGGTGCCCGCGGGCTCCCTGGACGCGCGAGGGTACCTAGCGAGCAAATCGTCGTCTTCCTTTTGCTCCTCCTCCTCCTGTCCCCCCCCCCCTCTCGCCTGTCATCGTCGTCAGCCTCCGTGCCCCTCTTGGGATGCCTCATCAGCTTTCTTCTCCTGCATGCCTTGGTTGCCCTCCTCCTCCTCCTCCTTCTTCTCCTCCCCTTCAACCTCCCCATCCTCCGCCGCATCCTCCCCATCCTCGGCCTCCCCCTCCGCCTCCTCCCCAATCCGCCTCCTTATCCTCCTCCTTTTTTTCTGCGCCCCTTATCCTTCTTCTCTTCTTCACCACCTCAATTCTCCTTCTCCATCCTCGCCCTCATCATCATCCTCCTCCTCCGTCTCTGCGCCCTCAATCTTTCGGGCTGTCGGGCACTCGTCCAACGTCGCTGCGCACGCGTCCCGCACCTGCGACCAGGGGGGCTCGGCCTCGGGCGCGTGGCGAAGGAGCAGCTCCACCTGCGGCGCGAATGAGGGGAATGCACGGGCTTGCGACGGGGGCGAGGGCGAAGGGGATGAGAAAGCGAGGAGGAGGAGGAGGAGGGGGAGGAGGAGGAGGAGGAGGATGGAAAACATGGGAATGACGAGTAGGTGGCGGAGGAGGAGGATGAGGAGGAGGAGGAGGTGGAAGAGGAGGAGGAGAACGAGAACGAGAACGAGGAGGAGGACGAGGAGGAAGGAGGAGGAGTGCTCAACAAAACGGAAAAGGAGTAGGGTTTCGAGGCCGCTTCACCCTCCTCCTCCACCTGCTGCTGCTGCTGTTGCCGCTGTTCCTCCTCCCCCTCCTACTCCTTCTCCACCTCCTCCTCCTCCTCCTCCTCCTCCAACTCCTCCTCCCTACTAGGGGCTACGCACTTTTTTCGTAACCCTCATCCTCATCACCGCCACCATCGTCATCACCATGGTCATCATCACCTTCATCATCACCATCACCATCGCCATCGTTGGGGTCCAACGATTTACCTATTACCCACCCAACCACCAACTCCACGTTCGCGGCCAGCGAGGGGCCGTGCACAGCCTTGTCTTTCGTCAAGCTGTGATAGTGGCCGATGTCGAAGGCCTTGCGGCAGCCCTGCGCCCGCACGTGGTCTTTCAGACCTTGCTCCAGGCTCCCCGTCAAGTGCCACGTCGGGCGACGGATGGGGGGCCTGGGCGATGGCCGAGGGGACGACCTCGGCGAGGGCGACGTCTCCAGCACCATCGCTAGGAGGCCACGGCCAGCGGCCACGGCACGAAGGCAGCGCGCTGCCTGAAAGCCAAAATGGCTCCGCATGGATGCCCCCAACCCCGCTCGATCTCGTTTACCGTCTGTCTGCCAAAAAAAACAAAGGGTGAGGCGGAATAGCGCATGGGAGGGTGGAAGGGTGGGAGGGAGGGAAGGAGGAAGGTGGGCGGGAGAGGGGGATGGAGTGGTGGAGGGCGATGGAGGGATTTTGCGATTCCACACCACCTTCACGCCCTGAAGTAGTAGAAGCGGTACTTCAGGAACTGTATCCTGTCGTACCATTGCCCGCGCTTCTGGTTCTGCTCGTCGAACCAAGTCATAAAGATTGACTCTTGACGAACAGGCGTCAGCACGAGGGAGGATGGCTGGGCGGGGAACCAGCCCGCGTCCACATGCCAAGCCTCGGGCCAAGGGCCCCCTTGGAGCTCCCTCATGCTGACTGCGATCACGTCGGGGCATCCCTCCCAACGGGGTGGCCCCGCCTGTCGCAGCAGCGGCTCCAGGAAGTCTCTCCTGGGCCTCTTGTTTTTCCCACCAGTTAGTGGAAGCCCAGGATGCACTTGGTTGATCTCCTGGACCCGCCAGGGGATGCCCAAGCCTGGAGGACCTGGTGGCAACCCGTGCTCGATCACCAAGCACGACACCTCGGGGCCGTCGCCGCCGTGGCGCCGCTCGTGGCGCTGCATGGCGCCTGAGCCAAAATGGCTTTCCGAGAAAGCGCTTGGGAGGAGGAGGCGGAGGAGGAGGAAGAGGAGGAGGAGGAGAGGGAATGACGATGAAAAAGAGGAGGGAGGAAGGAAGAAAGGATGGAACGAAGGCAGTAAGGAAGGAAGACCTGGGATAACTACACACGGTGAAGCATGGACGAGATGCATGGAGAACCAGGAAGAAAAATAACATAACTAAGATGAGGGGGAGGGCGGGAAACAAGGGGAACGGTGAGGAAGCAGAATCGAGGGAGGAAGAGTGATCCAAACGTAGCACATCAGAACATACATATGAACATATGGCAGCATGTAGCCTCACGTGGCACTCCCATACCATAGCATGGCATAGCGTAGCATGACATACGATATTGAATCTTATGTGTAATGCAACATAACCAGGTACAACATAATATAGGATAGTGTCCCATAGCATAACATAGCAGAGCAGATGATGATAGCACAGCGCGTTAACATGTCATAGCATGTCATAGCATCATCAAAGCATTGCATTTCCTACCATAGCATAGCATGATGTCATCATTGCGGCAACGACAACTCATCTGACAAATTCGGTTCTGTCATCTGACGGTCGCGCCCGGTCGCGACCGGTCGCGCCCGAAATCGGCGACCGGTCGCGACCGGTCGCGCCCGGTATCCGTTCCCGAAATTGGAGACCGAAACCGAAACGACCGACCCGTGCGGTCGCGACCGAAACTTTTCGGTCGCGCATGATCTGGGAAGCAGGAGGAGGAGGGTGGCGGGGCCGGCGACGCTGGCGCGCTGGGCGCGCGGAAGCGACCCGCGGCGTCAGCGAGGAGCGGCGCCCCTGCCAGGAAGCGGCTCCGCCTCCGAGGGAAGCAGAGCGTGGCTGGGAGGCAGCAGAGCCGCGCCAGGAGGCAGCAGAGCCGCGCCGGGAGGCAGCAGAGCCGCGCTGGGAGGCAGCAGAGCCGAAACCAGGAGGGGAGGCAGCAGAGCCGAAACCGAGAGGGGAGGCAGCAGAACCGGGAGGATCAGAAGCGCGGTTGCAAGCCGGAGGAGGTGCTGCGGCAGGGGCGGAAGCCGAAGAGCAAGGGCGACAACGCCGACGGGTCCAGGCAGGACGCCCAGAACAACGCCGCCACCCCGGTCCTCCGCAGCAGCAGGGAGGCGAAGAGCTTGCAGGCGGCGTGCGACGCGCGCCGGGAGTGCGGCGACCTGTTCTTGCTCTTGCACTTGCTGGAGCCGCTGGCCGCTGCCGATGACATGCTGAAGCGCTACCCTGACTTCTTCGTCTACGCGGGCGACGACTGCGCCAACCGATGGGCGACGTTCCTGCGCGCCTTCGATCGGCCTGACAAGTTGGCCGGCAGGCTGCGGGAGGCGCTCGGGGTGACGGAGGAGGAGATTTCCGACGCCAAGCGCCGACTGGAGAGCGGGGAGTGGCACTTGCACCACGTCGCGGAGCTCCTGGACGAGCGCCTGGGCTTCGCCCACGGCGCCCACTCCGTGGCGGCCGCGGTCCGCCTGGCGGCGAGCGACGCGTCGGCCGCGCTGGGCGACGGCAACCCGCTGAGGGCGCACCTGGCGGAGGCGTGGCAGCGCAGATCCTGCAACCGCGGCCCGCCCCGGCACGCCGCCATGCCTGCGCGCCTTCGGGATCGCTCTGAGTGGTTCCAGTGCCCCGCGCCCGCCCTGCATTATGCCTGCCGCATGTGCGAGGCCGAGTTCCCCAACAGGGAGGCGTTCAAGGCGCGCCAGGGCAGAGTCCACGGGGGGCAGCGGTGGTACCAGTCGCAGTATGTGGCGCGGTGCGAGCTGGAGCCCTACCAGCCGTCGCCGACCGAGGAGCGCCAGGCGAGCGGGCGGCGGGGAACTGCGACCAGCCCTCGGAGACGTGCCCTTAGCGCTGGCGCCCCCGGCGCCAGCGATAAGGGCATCGAGAGCGCTGGGGGTCGGGCGGCGCTCCCCGCCCTCGCTGCAGGTGGTTGCCAGGTTCCGCATCTCCCAGTTCTGCGCCACCGTCGATCCCGTCGACGAGCCGTTCGTCCCGAAGCTCGACTCGGAGATGCAGAAGCAGCTCGTCCACGCGGAGATCGTCGGCAGGATCGCCGGCAAGATCGGGCAGGCCCCCCCCCCGCGGAAGAGGTTTCCCGGCAGGCGGCCGACGCGGCGGAGTCGGCAGCCCGCGCTCAGGCGGCGTGCCAGGCGAGGGAGCCCCGCGCTTTCCAGGCATGCGTCTGCTGCGCCATGCAGCAGTGGTCCGAGAACCTCCACTCGGAGTACCTCGTCGGCGACAAGTGCACCATAAAGGGCCGGGCCCAGTTCGCGGACTGCCTGTCGGCCGAGTGGTATCACCAACGATGGCCCCTCATACCGCGCGACGAGCTGATGTCGTCGGCCGTGGACTTCCCCCACAACGACTGCGAGGGCTCGCCGACGTCCACGAAGATACTCTTGCACAAGAGGCGCGTGCCCCCGGAGGCGCTCGAAGAGAATGTGCCAGTGAAAGTCTGCGAGGATTGCCGGAGAGACCTGTGGTCTGATCACCCCAAGGTGCCGCTGATGGCGTTGGTGAACGACCTCTGGTTGGGCCGCCACCACCCGCTGCTCAGGAAGGCCGCTCTCGCACACCAGATGCTGCTCGCGCTCGGCCGCGTCGTGTCCACGAAGATCTACCTGTCCAGCAAGGGCGCCGACAAGGCCGTCCGGCAGGAGCAGCAGTCGTGGGGGCAGAAGTTCTTGCAGTACGCCATGCAGGGCACCGCCATCGTGTTCGGGAACGGGAACGTGGACCACGCGATGCGGAGCTTCCCGCCGGAGCCCGACATGCTCAGGGACACGTTCGTGGCCGTCTTCGCAGGCGCCGACAACGACGAGGAGGGCATCCCCCTGACCGAGGAGCAGAAGCAGGAGAGGGCCCTGAGAGCCATGAGGGAGGAGGTGGCGCTGCACGTCGACAAGGCGGAGTACGACGCCCAGGCGCGGTTGTTGAAGCAGCACAACTACGTGTACAATGACCCGGGCGCCCAGTACCGATCGGACCTCGTGGGCCGATTCCCCCCGCGGCCGGGCGTGCCCGACTTCATGTTGGCCTGCGCGAAGTATGTCCCCACGGACGCGGCGCTGGACGACGTCGCGCAGGCGCAGGGGCCCGCCTCGGCCACCACTGGCGCGCAGGCAGAGATGAGCGCGGCTGCCGAGGACGCGCAGGAGCTGACCAAGTGGCTGTCCGTCCTTGAGGACCACATGGACGACGTCAGCGAGCTCGCGTCCCTGCCGGCGCTCCAGGGCATGCTCGAGAGGATGGAGAGTCAGGCGGGGCGCGTGGTGGCCAACGAGCTGATGTCCAGACTCGAGGACCAGGGAGGCGAGGATAGGGCGCTGCAGCTGGGCGAGATCGGGCGTCACCGCCTGCGGGACCTCTGCCAGGAGTTCCACGCGCGCTGTCGGAAGATCTCCCCAGGGGAGGACATGGCGAAGCTGCGCTGGCGCGTCCAGGCGCTGGAGACCAACAACTGCCAGGCGGGGGAGGGCGCGGGCGACCTGGCGCGATCTGCAGGAGTCGCGGGGACTCCCGCCGAGGACGATCCGCGCTCCTTGCAGGAACCGCCCGTCCCAGACGGCGAGCGGAAGGCGAGGCTTCGGGTGCCCACTTCGAGGAAGGCGGAGAGCTGGTGGAATCCGAAATACTGGTCGATTGCCAGGCCCACGGACTTCTGCTACGGGGACTGCGCCTGGGGCCTCGGCCAACTCCCCCCGGACGGAGATGGGGGCCCGCAGAAGCAGAAGGAGGCTCGGCTCTGCTTCAGCGTGGCGCACTTCATCAAGAATCTACTCACGCGGGAGGAGATGGAGTATGACGTGCCCGCCGACGAGGAGAGATACGTGGCCAGGCCCATCAGTCGTTTCCGCAGCTCCTGGTACGACGTGCACCTGCTGTGTTCCTTCTGGAGAGTCACGGAGACGACCAACAGCACCTACACGTTCATGAAGACGCCCGGGGCGTTCGGGGCCGCTCGCGCCTGCGCGGACATCACGCCGGAGATGATCGAGGAGGTGCAGCTCAGGGCGCAGCAGACGGGCGGGAAGGCCACGCTGCACGGCATCCTCAAGGACAAGGACACCCCGAACGAGGTGCGCAAGGCCTTCGCCACCCTGGGCCAGGCCACTGCCGGCCAAGTCGGGTCCGACGGACACAGGCGGGAGCTGCGCGGAGAGGGCGAGGCGTATACCCTGCGCTTCGGCCCGCCCGTCCAGTTCGTTACCCCGAATCTGGCAGACACCAAGCAGCCCCTGATCCTCATCGTGCAGGGGGAGGAATACACCCTCGACAACGACCTGACCGAGGCGGGGCAAGTCACGTTCAGCGAGATGTCGCAGCGCGTCGCCGCGGACCCCGTGGGCCAGGCCGTGGTGTTCGAGCTGATGATGAGGCTGTTCTGCGTCCACGTCCTCGGCCTGCGCCCAGAGATCGTCGGGTGGCGGCGAGGAGAAGTTCGAAAGGCTTCGGAGCACTGGGTCTCCGACGGCGTGGCGGCCGACCTCATGGGCGTGCCCACGGTGTTCGGCCCCCTCGCGGCGGCCTTCGGTCCTGTCGAGGCTCAGGGCCGCGGCTCGCTTCACCCGCATATCCTCATCTGGCTGCTGCAGGGCCAGCTGCAAGTGCTCCTGGACATGCTGCAGCGCGACCAGGCGAGCTTCGAGGAGCGCTTGAACCTGTGGATGCGGCAGGTGGTGCAGGCCGTGGTCGCCACTCAGCAGAGCGCCGTGGAGCTGCTGCCCTTGCAGCTGCAGGGGGGCGAGAACAAGTGCGGGGTCGCGGTGCCGCCGCTGCCGTTCGGGCCCAACGAGAAGCGGTACTTCAGAGCCGACGGGCGCAGGGAGACGGCGACGGCAGAGCAGCTCGGGGTCGGGGACGACACGGGTGAACAGGAGCTGTGGTTCTACGACCCCCAAAAGTCCCAAACCCAAGGCGACGAGGTCTACCACGAGGCGTATCGCCCCAATCTGCCGCTGCGCCACAAGGACGGCACGGAAGCGGACGACGAGGCGGCGTGGGTGGAGAAGAACGCCGCGGAGAACAAGGGGTACTGGCGGCAGCCGCTCTCCAGCAGCGCCTCCGGCATTTTCCCGAGGTACCGCGGCGGGGGCACCCTGGCGGAGTCTCTCCCGAGCGAGGAGTGGATTCGCGAGATGTGCCGCGACGCGCGCGAGCTCGTCATCGGCTGCGGCATCCACGTCTGCAGCCCCTCTTGCTACAAGTACCATTCGGACAAGGCGCGCGGCTCGCAGATCTGCCGCCGCAACTTCTACAACCTGGTGACATTGTGCACGTGGCCCGAGGATGCGGACTCCCAAGAGCGCCGGTTCCGCACGCGCGGGAAGGCGCTGCGCGGCTGCATCGGCATCTTCCGGGAGACGGACTACGGCATGGCCGGGCGCGTCGTCACCTTCCAGCTTCACCCCGGGGAGACCTCCACGAAGTACGCGGCGGTCGTCTCGGCGCGGTGCAACGTGGACGTGCAGGACATGAGACGGGCGCTGCCCCCGCGCCTGTGGATGGATGCGTCGGAGCTGGAACCGGAGCCGGACGAGAAGGACCGCAAGAGCTACAACCATGGCCTCTACCCTCAGCGCTACGCCGACTTTTCGGTGGGCGCCCGGGAGGACTGGGGATGGTTCCAGCATCTGAACACCACGTCCGCGGAGAAATGGGACCTTGTCGTAGTCACCGACTGGCACGAGATCTTCAGGGAGCTCGCGAACCGCGACAGCCCCGCCGTGGACGGTGGCGACGCTGCGCGCGCCGATCTCCAGCGCGACCTGGAGCGGCACGCGCTGGCCACCTTCGGGGACGCCCACAACACGAGCTACTACGTCAACTCGTACACCACGAAGGTGAACCCCAGCATGGACGACGTGCTCTGCAAGCTCCTCGACGGCGTGCGCCGCCTGAAGAGCCAGTGGGACGACGGGGAGGCGCAGGCCGCGGGCGACGCCGGCGACGAGGCCCAGTCGACCGCCGCAGGAAAGCACAAGGAGGATTTCAAGCGCACGCTGCAGGTGTTGGCCCGCTTCGAGACCTGCTTCCGCAGGGCCTCCTGGAAAAGCGGCAGCGAGATGGTCTCCCCCATGCTCTTTGGGCACCTCTCCTTCATGACGCACCGTTGCTGGAAGGTGTTCATGCGGAAATCCATCTACCTCGCCGCGGAGTCCTGGCGCAGGCGGTACGGCCAGGCCGACACCGCGGAAAGCGCACCCGCCGCCTCGATCACGCACGCGGTCCCCGGCACTGGACAGCAGGTCGCGATGCCGGGGTGGCGCGAGGTGCAGCGCGAGGGCGAGACGGTGTACGTCAGCCCCGACGGCGAGGAGTTCGACACGTTCGAGTACGCGCACCAGGCGTTCCAGATCGCGAACGCCAGCGGCGGCTCGCTGCGCGACGTGACGAAGGCGCTGAACAAGTTGCGGGAAGGCGAGGCCGAAGAGGTGCCCGAGACACAAGGGCCGACTGTCGAGGGCCTCGCGCAGGGCAAGTTCAGGGGCGCAGTGCTGAGCCAGCACGAGGATTGGATGCACCGCGGAGACCACCCTATTGTCCGAGACATGAGCTTGTACGTCTACAGCATCTGGGTGCACCGCGTGGAACTGCCGCTGCATGCCCTTCCGGCCGGGGAGCTGGATCCCGAGGGCAGCGGAGGTCGCACCCTGCACGTCGACATCGCCTTCGACTCGTCCTACTCGGCGGCGCGGAACTGGACTCAGAGGCTGGCCGTCGAGCCGCGCATCCCGAAGCCGGACGGCTTCCAGTTCGTGAGCGCGGAGTCGAACGTGGAGACGCACTACCTTATGAAGTCGGTGCTGCTCCGGCCAGTGCACCTGCCGGACGCCGACGGCCCCAACGACACGAAGGAGCTGCGCTACCTCCGCGCGTACGAGCACCTGTGCGCGGCGCCGGAGGGCGAGCCGGAGTGGCCGGCGCAGCCGGCGGGGGAGGGCGTCTCGGGCCCGTTCCAGCGCGGCTGGGAGTCGTTCGCCACCGCCCAGGAGCAGCTGGCGAAGACGGCCCGGGCGAAGTGCCTCAGGAATGACGTAGGGTCTTGGGCGACCCCCAGCATCTGGAACACGGAGGAGGTCGAGTCCGCGCTGCGCGAGAAGCGCAGCGACAGCGGCGAGGACGTGCAGCCTCCGTGCCGGTGCGCCCAGTGCACGGAGCTGGGCAGCTGGCTGGACAGCTTGCTGACGGTGCAGGAGTACCTGGCCCTGGAGACCACGAAGACCGCGGCCAACTTCGACGGCATCTCCAAGGCGAAGGCTTCGAAGCCGAAGAGGCCGCAGAAGGACGACGCGCACGTCGCGGAGGCCCCCGTGTTCCGGGAGGGCGCCGAGGACTCGGGGGCGGGCGCCGCGCAGGTGGAGGCCCAGGCCATCCGCGCTCAGGACGGCTTCGCGAAGCTGGGCGCCAACGCGGTCCTGGAGCATCACTTCGACCCCGAGACGCTCGGGCAGATCTTGCGCTTCGACACCGCCGAGCGCACGCAGGCCTTCGTGAAGGAGCTCAAGAAGGCCGCCACGATGATGGAGAACGGCGCGCTGCCCGGGCCGACTGACGCCGACGCGTCGCGGCGCGCTGCCCGCGCCCTGAAGGACAACGTCCTCGCTCCGTTCAGGGCCCTGCGCGACCTCGACGCAGACGAGCTGAAGAGCCTGGTGGAGACCCAGCGGAAGAGGTTCGCCAAGGGGGGCACGAAGGATGCGGACGTGCCCGTGGCCGACGCCCCCGCGCGGGACGACGT